CTTGCATCAAATTTCACTGAACCTGATTTTAGGAGATTATTAGATTATTATTGAAATAGACTCCTTAATTGTATCCCACATAAAAATAATGCCAGTGAAAGCTAATTGAAAACCACCTGTGAGTAACTCAGGGTAAGACTGAAGAGCAGATTTTCATATGATAATGGGCGTTCAAAGAGAAATTATTTCTTCGGCACTTTATATGCTATCATTTGCAGATGAGGAAACTGAGATTCAAAATCCCAGGGACTTACCAAGACTGTACCTTACCTAAAGTATAGTCACAAGAGGCCACATTTACAACAACCCATAGGTTCCCAGAGGCCTGTGTATCCTACACAGCCTCCCCGGGGATACTGGTGGTGGTCTGGGTGCTCAGGGACCGCCCCCTGGAAGATTGTCCATGGCATGTACCTGGCATATTGACTCTCTGGGGCCCGAGGCACAGAGACCTTCTGATGTTATGGTTTGGAAGCCGTCATGGTCACTCCCATCTCCTCAAATCTGTGTGGATGTCACTGCCTACAACATGAGGGCCATATAGGATCATTCAGACAGCAGAAGCTATTTCATGACTTAAACTATTTCATGCAAACTTTATTAAGGCAGAATTTCAAAGCCAGGAAATAATAACTATTATTTTTTTAAGTGGTATGCAGAGAAAAAATAAAATTCAAAATTCTTAATTTAGTTCCCTAAGTTTGTTTATCCTTCTTCCTTCCCTCCTCCTCCTCTCTGAGCTCTCTTCCTTCCTACTTTGTTTTTATTTCTTTATTCTTTCCTTCTCTCCTTTCTTCCTTCTTTCCTCTCTTTTTAATTCTCAAATCCAGATCTGGAGTTGTCTTCTTTAAGTTTAATCGTACCTCATCCTTCTTCTTAGAAGGTGTGACTTGGCCGGCTTCCTTGGGGGAATCTGATTCTTTTTGCATGAAGGACTCTCACAAGGAGTTTCAGCCATGTAGAGAGAACCAGAGTCTGTCCTTTTGCCCAGGGGGATCCTGGTAGCCATACAACTCTTTCCAGAAACTTAGTATCCAATTGTGGTCCTGCAGGGTCCCAGCTGGGCTGGGCAGTACACATGTCACAGAGGGCTACCGAGTCCTGTGTTCTCAGAGCTACCCAGAGCAGCTCTGGGCAGCCAGGAGTGCTCAGGACCACCCTGCCTCACCTCCAAGGCCACCCCAGTTACCAAGGCTTGACAGTCCCACCGTGCACCCTCTTCGTTCTGTGGGTCCACTAATGAGTCCAGTCTGCTTAAGTGTGAAATGAAATCAGAGACACTAATGGACATTTCAAGACAAGTCACTGAACACAAACGGATGCAGCCCATAGCACAGGCTAGAGAAGTCAAAAGGCCTTGTCTCAGGTATGCGTTAGCCCAGCCCTGGATGGGGAGCAGAGGACATCATACTGGAGATGTCTTCCTTCCCGGAAGACAGGCAGCAGCTCCCCTAACAGGCTTCCTTAATGGCCAATCCATGCACTGGCATTTGTGCAGGAGCCGGAGGGACTGCGTGTTTACCCACTGGATGAAAGAACACGCTGCAGGGTTAGGAACACAGGCCTGAGAGCAACCTGGGAAATCCACGGGACAGGAGTAACATTCAAACCATGGCGAATGGGCCACGTGCAGGATTCCAAGGATCAGGTTACCCTGAACTTTTTCTGCAGTCTCCAAAAAACTGTAGAGGCCTGCGATCAAGAGGAACCAAGCCACCTAATAAGCTACCCTGGGCTCCAGCCAAAGCGGGCACCCAGCCGCCCAGAGCTCCACCTGCTCCTGCACCCGCCTGTGCAGTCCACCCAGGCAAGGTCAGGGACACACCTTCCTTTGCAGTTACCTGTGGGGAAAGACCAGATTTTTCAAAGGAAAATTCAGTCTGGATACTCAAGAGGACATTCAATGGAGAAAAGAAAACAAATTTATTACTAGGTTTCCTAACTGGCTGAACAGCTTGGGGATAGGTGCAAGTTTTGCCTTAGTTTCATATAGGGCACATCTAGCAAGGCTTAGTATTGATTAAGATATATAAAAATGTAGGTTGTAGGTGTGTGTGAAGACAAAATTCACTATCCTTCTTTAGTGATCAATTGATACTGAATGAAAACACGAAGAAGAACCCCTACCCTGTGCTCTAGCACTCCCAGCTCTGACTGCCAACCCCAATACAATGACCCAAGTTATTTCCACTTTGAGCATGAAGAGTATGGCTCAAATAATCCCACCTAAGACACAGTCAGAGGCAGAGTCTGAGCTAGGGCGGCTCTGGTCTGGCATTAAGACTTTGATGGTGTCCACCTGAGAGGGACAAGCACACTGGGCACAGTGTTCTTCTTCTGGGAGACCAAAAGACCTCTTGGCTGTGGTGGAGAGTGGCTCAGGAATCACTGTCGTGCCGCTGGAGAATTTTACACTCGGGATCACAGCTTTGCAGAAAGCAAAGTCTTCAAGGTCTATCGTGTGCTGGGAACATTATCAACCTGGACTGCAACTCTATTCTGCGAACAGGATGAGAGTGGCTGGGAGCAGGACGCCCAGGCAGAAGCTGTCCAAGGGATGCCAATCTAAACCCAAGTCCATTTAAATATTGCCAGAGGAAGCAACGCTTGGCACTTCAGGCTGAATAATCCTGACTCCTTTGCTGGCCAAATGGGGTGCCATATTCTTTGATCAGAGGCCTGACAGGCTGGCAGTTCTTCACAATGAGGAAGAAACGGTGGGTGACAGCAGCAGGCGGTGGTGAATGGTGCCAAAGCATGGGGGGTCCAAGAGGCCTTGGGGGGCTCATGTTTGGAGTGTCCTCACCCTGGGGAGTGGTCTACAACCCCATCAAAGTGGGCCCCCAAACCTGCCTTTGCAGGGGGAAGGCAAGCACTAACTGCTATCCAAATGACCTCTACGATGACCTAGAACAAGGACATCTTCCTGGGCTCAGAAATTCATTCTGCTGCTGCATTGCAGAATGGAGAATCCTCTGCTCCAGGATCCGAAGCTTTCACCAGCAAGGGTTCAAATTCTTGTTGAGCAGCGCAACCCACTGGGCAGGCTAGTGGCTCCCGGTTATCCTACTCAGCAGCCATTTCTCTATGTTTGCCCATAGCTGAGGCACCTGGAAACATGGTGACTCATTTCTGTAGGTGTGACAATTTGTATTAAAAAATCTAAAATGCTACTGGGCCAGTAAGGGAAAAAACACAGACCTTTGCAAACACTTTACAAGATACTTCCATGAATGAACAGCAGGTGGGGCTGCAAAAGCCACCAGATTAGGACCAAGGGAAGAGAGGAATCTTGCAACCCAAGCACCAATTCGTCCAGAACATTTTCCAAACATGAATAGGGCTCTTCTTGTGGCTTATGATGTCAGTCAATCTGTTTTATGCTTGAGCTATGTTCAGGAGTTAAAACTAACTTATTTTTTAACATAGAAGATTTTCAAATACTTCACATCCTGTTTTCCTCCAGCACAATTTTCTAGAAGATAAAATAATTGTTATTAATTTAATCACAGCAGTTCCACCCACCAATATGTCAGAACAGAGACAAAGCATGCTCTTTCCCTATGGCTATATCAGGCACACATACGTTCATGCACACAAATGCTTTAATAGCAGATAGGCTATTAGATCTGAAACATGCACCAATGCAGTCTGAAGAAAGTCGTGGTCAAGATTCAGCCCATGCCCAAGCTCATGGGAAGCAAGGCACATAGAGAAGGGGTAGAGTGGAATCAGAAGCAAATGTCGTGCTGAACTTGCACAAACCAAACCAGGAGATCAGTGTCTCCCACCGGTCTTACAAGTTGGGGAGGCAGTGCATGGGGATTTCCTCCCTGAACAAGAACTAGCTAGTTCAGAGAGGCCATGGGCATGGGCAGCACCTTTTGAGTCTTACCTGGTTCCGGTGCATTTTCTCAGCCACCCATGGGGGCCATCTGAGGAGAGAGATGAGCAAGGAGCAGATGGACGGATGCCGCTTCTGCATGAATTCTGTCTACAATGTGTCAATGACTCATAGGCTGCCAGGTCTGGCTGTGCATTTGGGTCCAGTGTTGACCCAGATAAAGAAGGGGGACGCTCCTGCCTCTGGCTCAGGGACAGGGCTGCCAAATGAGAGCTGCGATTTCATGCTTGTGATATAGATTGGAGCAATTAACAAGTATAAGTTTTTTCAAAATAAGCTTAAATCTGCATTTTATGTGTGCAAGTTTCCAGCTGTAATGGGATTATGATGTCATCGAGGGAAGAGAGGTCCGCAGCTGCAGTGGATGAGGGAGGCAGTCAGCAGCTGTTAAAATAAAAAACTAATGGTGATTAATTCTTATTATGTGTTTGAAGATTTCACAACAAGTTCAAGACCCAACCCTTCCCACAGGGGTGTGGAGTGGAGGGGTTGGTGGCTGGACAGTCACATTCCCCAAACCAGTCATTTTGTTGTTTAGTTTTTAACTCGGTTCAGCTCTCTTACCAGCCCAGATTCTCTGAACGTCTTCCAGGTCACACGTAAGTAAGTAGTGTAGAATACAGGCATTGCTGGCACTATTTTCCAGCAGGGCTACAACTGAGTGCCCACCAAGGCCCCCACTCATTCAGGAAGTGTCGCTGAGGTTCAGAGAGCCTGGTGTGTGCTTGCAACAGCCTGAATGGATCCCAGCAGCTCTCTATGTCCCATCATTTCAAGACTTCCAAAATATTCAAGAACATTCCTTTTATCTAATGTCTCTAACCACATGTGTGTCTGGAGTCAGGTGCCACATATGCTAAGACACTGAACATTTCTGAGGTTTATGTAACTTGGATTTCTGCTTAAGGTGGTCTGTTTCCTTGTAGCTTTGCATACAAAATTGGATGATATATGCTTGAAAGGTGGGGAAATCCACGATGCTGTAAAGTAAGAAACTTACATCAAATGTAGCTAAAAGAATGCTTAACATAACAGGATAATTTTATAATAAAAACAATCAAATAAGAGAGGAAAAACATGTTTTTTTTTTTCAAAGTAAATCTCTGGTAAAAGCATGGCAAGAAATAAATTGAGAAGTAGACAGCCTCAAGCCAAGGACTCCTTGAAAGGCACTGGAAAATCCACTTCTTCATTGGTAAGACCTCTCCATCAACTCTGTTGCTGAGGGCACTTCCAGCTTCAAGTGCTGTGACCTCAGGGGAAGAGAAAGGGCCTGGCACCTGGTGTCACTCGCTGCTGGACTGAAAGTCACCAGACCAGCAAACAGCTCTCTGCCCTCGACGGCAGGACTCCACACTCTTATCGGCACTGCTGAGGCCCATGTCCTGCCCCTGGTGGAAGTTTGTGTTTTCTGGATGTGTAGGTTGACCTACTAATTTGGGAAGAGAAAGAAGCACCACGGAGGCAGTGACTCAGGTTACCGGAGACAGTGAGCAGAGGCTGGGAATTTGCTGGAACGTAGCTGGACCTCCCGAGCGTCCCACTGGGGAAGTCCTAGAGTAGCATGCATGATTCCGCTTTCTAATGGGTCTGCATTTCTGTTTCTCTGTGTGCGTCTTCTGCATCCTTGCGCATTCCTCTACACAGGTCAGAGGCAGGCAGGCTCAGATGTAAATGAGGCAGAATATGCCTGTGTCGCTTTCAGCCTGGCCTGCTGGCTTTGACAGAGGTCCCAGGGCTTCAGGGATGGAAACAAAGAACCCTTGTCTCCCAGCTTCCTATCTCTGGGAAGATCATATTGCTCAGTCCTCACTCCCCCTTTGCTTTATTAAAAAAAAAAAATTGAAGGAGAAGAATTACAAAGTTCAGGCCAGAAAAAAAGTTTGAAGCCCCCTAAGACCATCTCGCTCTGCAGGGGAGGGAGCGGGCAAAGTGGAGGATTTAATTTCAGGGCTGGGGAGGTGGTGGGTCTCTAATTCGTCAAAGGCTTCCCAGAACTCGCAGGGTCCTGTGACCCGGGGTCCACTTCTGCCCAGTTTCCCTGTGAGGATGTTTGCAGCTCACTGAGTTTCCCGGCGGCCTTAGCTGGACGGCTGGATCATTACATCAGCAGACAGCTGTTTTCTTTAGGTTCTTTTACCTTAAAGTGAAACTGGAACAATAGAGCCCTGATGGCTTTTCCATCTCTTCCCTTTTTCCCTGCCTCGGTCAGGGTTCAGAGATGAGCTAACCCGGACCTCAACAGCGCCTGTCCGGAGCAGTGAGTCTTCTGCACGTCCTTTGCTTCAAGGTTACAACTTGGTGAAAGTTAACCGGAAGGAAGAGTGACAAGCAGAGACACACTTGACCTTCCTAACTGCGAGGAACCCTGTTCCGGGGGCAGTTGAGATCTGTGGAGCGTCTTTGGTGCAGCCTTCCAGGGTGTCCTGTTTAAGGACAGCCTCCCAGGGGTTCCCCACACTGGCTCCCAGGCGCACACGGTCAGCACGGTCAGCACGTGGGGCTTCCTGTGCACTGAGAGCCAGGGTGTATGAGTTTCCATGAAGCTCGGTGTCAGGGCCCAGCTGAGAAGCGGCCCCAGCTGCTGTGCACCGAAACTCTAACAGCCAAAGGTAGGGGGTCTTGGAGGGGCGCCAGGAACTGCCTGAGAGGTCAGAGGAAGGGGGAGGCTGTGGAGCTAGGAGGGGGAGAGCGGAAGGAGGCTGTAATAGGATGGCAGGATGCCCGGGATTCATGGGGCATAAAGACAGGGAGGCGGGGTGGGGGCAGGGAAGGATCGTGGGGAGGCAGCAGAAACACAGAGAAAACTGGGAGCCGTTACAGACAGCAGCCAAGAAAGGCAGGTCAGATGGAATGGATTCGCCACCAAAATGTACTTTTCAATCTGGCTGCAGAGTGTCGAGAAATATCTTGCAACACGTCTTAAAAAATCAATTTCAAAATGTTGATCAAGTCCCAAGGAAATGTACCTTTCTTTGCACACAGGAAAGTGTTTCCATAATTTTCACACTTAGTCTGTGAAAGTCTGCAAACTAAGGCACAACCATTTTGACCAAGATGATATCTCACGTATCTTGACACCAACTGTTTAAATTTCTGACTTGCACATCCATTTCTGGAACCCACTGTTTCTGATTTTTCCAAAGGTTTCATTCCAACATCCACTCTTCTGCTGCATTGAAAATGAACTTTTCTCACGAGGGTAGAAAGCAGGGCAGGGCTGAAGGCTTCCTCCAGAAGATGCCTGAAACTCAACTTGTTGGACAAAAGAGAGACTGAAACCCGAGAGGCCACCCAGGCAGAGAGTAGTGACAGAAAGGACCTCAGTGGGTATCCCGAGACAGACAACCAAAGGGAACAGTGCTGTGCAGTTAGGGGCAAGAGAAAGGTTCAGGGAAGAGAGAAGCTGGGAGGGGGTGCAGGTGGGAACAGTCAGGAGTCAGCAGTCAGGACGGGGTGAGCAGAAGGGGCAACGGGTGCTTTTGGCTGAGCCTAAGTGAGACCCTGGTCCACTTGCAATCCCACCCCAGAGCCTGGCAAGGCTCCCTCCAGCAGCTATCACTCTGCTCTTTCCATGCTTGTCTCCACCCACACCACCTTCTACAAGTTCTCAATCATATAAGCATCTGGAAGGAAGCTGGGAAGGGTTGTCTGTCTTGTCCATTGATGGAGCCCAATGCCTAGGACAGAGCCTGATAAATGGAGAGCACTGTGCAAATACGAACAATTAGAGCCCAAGTCATAAAAGAAAGTACTCAAACACAGGGTCTCCTTAACTCTCTAAAATACCACACTGTTTTACACGTACACACACACACACACACACACACACACACACATGCCCGTGTAAATTTGAGAGAACTCAGAAATGGTTCAAATCACCCAGAAACATCAGGTGACCATTCAAGATAACTCAGGAAATCTGAGCTGGTTAAGTTTATTGCACGTCACCAACAAGTACCTTTTGGGACTGAGGGAATTAGCAAACACATTCCACAAATCCCCGGCAGTTATTTTGAGCGAGGTAGTGGGAAATGAGGACCTAAAAGAGAAATGGCAAGAATGGAAGTGAGAGTGATATTTTACTCCACAGAAGGTCGATCCTGAGTTTTACCATCTGGGAGCTAACCTAAATCCCCAGGAAAACAAGGTCCCCTCAAACCAAGGCAAAGTCAAGGAGACATAGCAATCCATACTTATTAATAGTCTCATAAAGCATCGGGAAGGCTTGCCCCCACCCTGCTTTGCTGGATGGTCGTGGGCGCTTGTCTTGTGAAGGAATACAGCAAATACATTTACATTGTTTATGAACATGTCTTGATTTCAGTTAAACACTTGATGGAAGTTAATCCCATTTGGTTTATATAAAAAATAGCTGTTCGGAGCCTGAAAACGTATCTGAGTGATGACGAGTGGGATTTACGGGTTTGGGGGGGACAGCCTGTAGGGATGGGAACAGATGAAAAATACACAGGCGGCTGGGATATTGAAGCAGGTAAATGATTTAAAACAGCTTTGGAAGTAGTTTGTTAAAAATGAGTTGCCCGGAGGATTTTCTGCCCCAACTTGTCAGGAGTGTCCCTTCCTGATGGTCTGTGCTTAGAGCAGACGGCTGCATGGCCTCCCACCTCCCCCTGCATGTCCACGTCCTTCTGCCTCTACTCCCAACAGTCATTGCACACTGGAGACCTTAAGGCCCTGCACTACTCTTACCCACGTGGCTGGGTCTTTGGCTTTGTCACTGGGTGTCGAAGGACCATGGCGGCCTTCAGGCTGGACCAAGCAGGCTCCCCCTCATGGCTGCACTCTGTGGTCTTTAGAGTGCTCTTAGCATTCAGACCATGGCCCAACTCCTAGGACTTCAGGGGGCAGTGAAGTCCCAGAAAGAGTGCACACTATTACACTGCATGGCGTGCCTCATGACAGACAGACAACTGCAAGGGCTCACCTGACTCTGGCGGCCACTCTTTGTGCTCAGCAGACTTCTTTCCTTCAAAGAGATGGGCAGGTTTTGACCCAAACCAGTTCTCTCACCAGACGTATGGGAAGAACAACTTCTCCTCCGTCACTTGTTTTTGGCCCAGCTCTGAAAGCTTCCAGTTATCGGAGGCACAGGGGTGAACTCTTGTTTGGTTGGGCTGTTGCAGAATGTGCAGAGATGATGTAGACTCCAAGAACAGTGCACCTTTCCACGCATCTTGATTATTTAATGGTGTGTTCACATATAAAACCTCCGACTTTGTATCACGACAGGGATGAACTGAATGTGCAAAATCCAAGCTGTGCTTCTGTGTGTTGGTGACAATCCTGGTGGACCCATTGGACCCTAGGATGGCATGGTGCAATAAGGAGTTAGGATCCAGGACTTTCCATCCTTGGCAAGTACTCCACCTACCTGAGCATCTTTCCCTTCTTATAAAGCAAGGTGTGTGACAAGTTTAATGGTGTTGAATATAGGCGATAATAATGAGGCTAAGGTTAGCCAAGATCACAATGACAGCAAGGAAGGCCATTTTGGTATTTCCTGGGTCTTCATGGTATTCTTCTCAGCTTACAAAGACTCCCTAGTGGACTTCCTCACATCATTCCTAGAAGAGGAGCTGGGGCCAGAGACCCCACACTGGCTGGTTTTCTATCATTCAGTGGGGAGCAGGTTCGGGGCTGGTCCTGAGAGGCACCCTCAAGAAGCGCATGAATAGCTGCCATGTTCACCAACAGCTTTGAGTTTCATTAGGAAGCTGGGCAACACCTTGGCCAAGACTGCAGTACCATTAAGTGCCACCTCCAGCTCTTCCCGGCCCCGTGGTGGCTCCCACTTCTACTTGACCTTCATAGGTCAACGCTTCCATGATAAGTACCAAGGCTCTCCAGTTCCCCCCTGCCTCCATGTGCCACACTCTTTTCTGACATTCTTTCACTTTGTGCAGCTTTTATCTCTGTCTTTGACTTGACTTATGAGAAAACAGAAATAGGTTCAGGACCTTGCAATGCCCCACTGCAAATACCCGTGAGGACTGGAGGGGAACTGACCTCTGTTCACGTCTGAGCCCACAGGCGTGACCCACACTGCGAGGGCGAGCCTAAGAGGAGAGTGGGTGTGGCAGGACGTGGCAACTGCTGTGTCCAAAGTGGGTGAGAGAGGGGTAAGTCCCAGGCCTCCAGGCTGGCTTATCACTGCAGATGAAACAGGAGGTTGGGAAGCAGAGTGGCTCTCCATGCCTTGGCTTATAAACCCTGCAAATGTCTCGGCCTCTAGCTTTTTACCCTCCCCTTCCTGAGCTGTGAATGCCTTGCTTTGTCTCTCCTCGATTTTCAAAACTAGTTGTTTTGTTGAGTGCAAACCACTTTTCAATAAACCACCCTGCTTCTTGGGAAATGGACTCAGGAAAGTTCTGGAATCCTGAGAAGGTATCTAGGGACAGGCTGCTGTAAGATTCTGGCTCTGTGGACACTGGGGGATATGTGCTTGTCCTGGGAAGGTCCACTTACCATGCACGCCCTCTCTGGTTCCCCAAATACTGGAAAGCCATGTTCACCTGGGCTAGGCCAGGCTGCAGCTGAGCAGGGGACTGTCTGGCTCACCCTTCTGGTTACAGGAAAAAGCTTGTGCCCAGCCATAGCCAAAGGCCTAGGGGAGTCAAGAAGGCCCCATTTCCTTGAAGATGCTGCTGGGATCAGAACCTGGGACACTGACATCTCTGCTCAGTGTCCCTAAAGACTCCTGGGATGCATGGAAGGGGTCACCTCTTTTCATATTCTGACATTCATCCCTTGATTTCTGCCACCCAAGAAGCACCCTTTGTGGCTGCAGGCCCAACAGGCCTTCAGAGCAAACAGTGGTGATCGGGGGCAGGTCACCAGACAGAAAAATACTCAACACAGAGGAAAGCTGCCTGAGCTCTCTGCCTCACCCACCCCTGCCATGGGGCCCCAGGCAGGTACCCCCAGGATGCTTTGACCAGACTCTTTATAAACCCCTGGTCCCTAAATAACCAAGCCAGACACAAAACTCAAATAGGTCACCAAAGTTGGAAACTTCTGCATTTTTTACTTCAAATAAAAAGAGAAAATTCAGTGGCCATGCTGAGGGTTTTGAGATAAATCTCACTCTGGGCCTGAAGTGGGGAGGAAACTGTCTCAGGCTGGTGTGAAAACCTCGAGGTTGCAGGTGACCTGGCCTGGGCAGGAGGGCTCGGGCAGACAGGCGTGCCTGAGAGCTGGGATCAGGAAAGAAAAACAGACAGATCAGTGAGCCCAAAGAAAGCAAAACTACAGAAAAAAAATAGACCTGAAGAGCAGGGAAATCATTTAAAATATATTTAAAATGCAAGCCTCATTGCTTTTCTGCAGAAATAAAAAGGAAGCTGAGTTGGAGAACCGACTAGGGTTTGTTTTCTTTGGACAATAGGAATTCTTTCCAGAAACATGTCACTGACTTTAATTAGCAAGACGCAGCTCCCACATCCCCAGATCTCAGGTGGACAAGAAGTCAGATCCTACACCAGCTGCGGGCGGAAGGAGAGGAGGGTAGCTCAGCCTCTGGCCCTTTCCTCATTTCACCCTGTGTCCTCCCGAGATCCTGTGTCTGTCCATTGGTCCTTGGTTGGAGTGTGCTCTCTTGTTCTCCTTCATCTTTCCCTATCTTAGTCTGAGCTCCAACACCCTCCCTGGAAGCCCCCAGTGGCCTCTTCCTCGCTGCCCCTATATTTCCCTGCATTTCATCACAGAATGATAGACAGGGTTCCTCATCACTTCCCTTGGGACAGTGACTTGTCTCAGGAGTGTGTGCAGTCCCCCAGGAGGCCCAGCTGATGCATGGGGTCAGGTGTGGGGAGGCTTAGCACTGCTTCTTGAAGCTCAAGGACAGTGTCCAGTGGAAAGAGGGGTGCCAACCCATGGTTGTGACAACCGTGACAACTGTCCATTACTATGAACATCATGGCTTAAGGGTGCCCTTTGTAAGAACCACACAGGGTACACATGAAGCATAGGGCTCATGGACGACAGGGTGAGGATTTCTGTCTTGAGTAATCAGGAAAGGTCCCCTGGGGAAGGTCTCCACCCGTCACCTCTTCATGGACGTGTGTGTGTAGCTCCAGCAGCCTGTGAGGTACCAGTGAGGAGCAAGCTGCACCTCAGCAGATGCTGTCCACACCCAGGAAGGTCGCAGTTGGCCTGGAGGTGACATTCTCCAGATTCACAGTAAACAGGAAGTGACGCCACAGTCTTAGTGGACTGCCTGGGGCCTGGGTGGGAGAAGCCAGACCTGGAGCCTGGGACTTACCCCTCCCTTCCAGCAGGAAGAACATGCCAGAGAAGACCAAGGCTGGGGGAGAGGAAGCCATTCTGAAGGTTAAAACCTACAAATCTGCGACTATACGGAAGGTTCTGCAGGTCGGGATGGGCTCTGAGTACCACGACTACAGCAGCAGGGAGGGGACATGTGCTCCCCGGGAGCCGTGTCAGGGCCAGCGTGGGCCAAACTTGGGTTCTTCAGCTGGGGCTTCAGGAGCCACCGGAAGTTCCAGCAGGTGAGCTACAAATTCAGCCTGAGCAAACCTGACAGGTGAACCAGAGGCACTAGGAAAAGACCAGATTCTTACACCAGAGTCGTTGAAAGACAGAATCCCCCAGGTGGGATGATGCTGAAAACTAGAGAGATCTTCTGAGAGGGGGGTCACCCTGTGAGTGACCTCAAGGACAGGCATCAGGTCCTAAGCACTGACCGTGGCCAATCCTGGCTCTGTCACTTTAGGAAATTCCACTGCTCTGAGGTCATTTCTTCGTCTTCTACCTGAGCAGCTGAGATGCTCTTGAAGGCCCTTCTCAGCCCACAGGCTGTGGGTGAGTATTTCTGTGGGAAACAGAGCAAGCTGCACACTGGAGAAAAAGGAGAGGCCCGGCACCTGCAGAGGGTTAACCAAGTATGCACCACAGGAGCCCCGGGCCCTTCCAGGAGGAGGGCCAGCTCCTCAGCAGTGTCCGTTAGGGAGCCACGGCCAACTCCTGCAGTAGAAGAGCAGAAGCACCCTTGGGTCACCATCCTAATGATACTGAGAGCTCACAATGCAAAACAATTAGTTTACCGAGAAAACGCCTCTCCAGGGAAGGTCTAGAGTGGTCCCTGAGACCTTGATTTGCTGGCAGACACCAAGGGAGACCTCAGGGGATTAGGTCACCCGCCCTTAGGCAATGGGGGATAAAGGATGCCGCACACACAGCTTGTCTTTTTGTTGTGACTTAAAAGCATCACCCTATGAGGGATGTCATTTATGTCCACTTTGATGTGGCTTGAGTTTCTTGGAGTGGTCAGGATGTGCAGATTTCTTGGGCTCCTGAGTGACTATACCAGGCTATGTGCAGGCTGAAGGTACAGCCACAGTGCTGGGAGTGACACGGGTTCAAGAGGGGCAGGGAGGCAGGGCTAGCCTGCACTGTTGGCACTCTGTTGGCTAACGGACACAAACCAAGAAAAGGGAGACGAAGAACAGAGGAGAATGCATTCAAGCCAGAAAAACCGTGCAGCGTTGCCTCTGGGTGTTAGCAGAACTCACCCACAGAGGCTGTGCAGCCCTTGGTCTTCTGCACATGTGTCCAGGGCAGTCTCAGGTACACTTAGGGGAGCTCAGTCTCCATGGCAAGCTGTCCATCCCACTATGTAGCAGGGTCCCCAGGGAGCACAGTGGGAGGGGAATTCTTTTCCTTGGAGCAGGGAAATTGACAGGTGCTTATTTCTTTCATTTGTCCTCAAGGTGGGTGTTTTGGATGCCAACACAGATTCCAAATGCCAGGCAAAAGCCCACCCTTCATCTCAGCATCACTTGGCTAGCCCCTACTGTCCTTGAATTAAATCTAAACCTTGAACTTTCTTGGGGCCGGACAGCGGGCCGCTCAGGCACCAGTTAATGTCCACGGGTCTCCCTGACGGATGCAACCTGAGCATGGATGCTGGGCGCAGGAGAACACTGCAAAGGTCTGAGAAGGAGACTGGAAACAGAAGCTTGAGGGCTGAAACAGAGTCCAGGCAACCTCCCAGACGGGGCAGGTCCTGCCAGGGCACCGGGTGCTCTCTGCCCTCTGGTTCACATCACTTTCAAATATCAAAAGCAGCCCTCAGCGGCCCCGGGAGAGGAGGGAGAGCGCATTCCACCTCCGTTCTCGACACTTCCCAGATGGCTCCAGCCGTGGCAGCTCTCTCTCTTGTGACTTTTCCCCAAAAAGAAATCATCTCGTCTGTGGCCTCGGCCTGTGTTTTGTTGTTGCTCACATTTTCCTTGAAGAAGTGTGAGACAGCTAAAAGCATTCCTTTGGAGATGCTATCTAACCAGCCAGGGACTTCCAGAGACCCAGGCTGAGGAGCAGGTGTGTGTGTGTGTGTGTGTGTGTGTGTTTGCGGGCGCGCGCGCGCACGGGTGTGGGGAGGCTGGGCCTGGCCCCCCTGGAGCAGGGCTGTCAGTGCAGGGTAACAGTGGGCTTTTTATGGCCTCCGTCCTGAACGCGTGGCAGGGCTGCATTTTTAATTATGATGATGTTAAATGGATTTAATGGGTGACATTCTCCTGATTCACAGAGCATTTTTATAACATTTATTAAAAAAGGCCAAAGTTTATTTTACAATCAGTAATAAAGAGGAACACAAAAACGCAGCCATTGGCACAATGGCCCTCACACGTTTATTTTGTCCACAAACTGCATATTATTCTTGCTCGATAAGTGACGGGAAAAGCAAAATTGAAGTCCTGTTCAACATTTGATCATCTTACTTAATAACAACAGATGCTCTGAGCGGTGGCATTTTGAAAAGAGCTCTGTCTGCCGCTGGTTATGAAATGGCAGGACATTTGGCACCCTCCCGCATCGCACCATTTGAAAACCGTAGAGTCACATAAACGGCCAATGAGAGGTAGGAAAATTCAGCTCCTATCTGCAAAGCACAATTCATTTCATTTCAGTGATGCAAAACAGCAGAGCTGCCTTTCAAAAGAAGAGTCTGTGAAACTTGCTAGGCCATGTTCCCTCAGCAGTAGGAGGAAAACACACATGCACGCGCACACAGCGCACACACACACACACACACACCACGTGAATTGGTGAAAAACAGGCTTAATAAAGCTGTTTTAATAAAGAAATGCTATTTTCTCATCTAGCAATATGTCATGACTTGAGCATTATTAAATGTGAGTAGACATACCTCCCCAAGCAGAGCAAGGAGGAGCTGGCCCTGAAGAAGTCCTTCTCCCCAGCACAACCCAGACAAAGGGTCTTGCTGGGGAAGTGGGACACACAGGAAGAGGTGGCACAGACTCACCAGGCCCACTCTGTATCAAAAGCCACTGAATGATTGACATCCCACAGCCCAAGGGTTGCTCATCTCCTCCCCATCCTTAGGGAGGGACTTAGCCTAGTTGCTGATCCATGTGTTGATTTTCTTCTTCAAGACTCAGGTCTTGGGCTGAGGCTGGGGCTCAGTGGTAGAGCACTCTCCTAGCACACATGAAGCACTGGGTTTGATCCTCAGCACCACATAAAAATGAAATAAAGATACAGTGTGTCCACCCACATCTAAAAAATAGATATTAAAAAAATAAAGACTTAGGTCTTTCCCCAAGGTCAACCCTAGAACGGAGATGTCCGGCTGTCTCTCAGACGTCCTCTCTCACCTTACCCATGGAGGATATTACACATGAGTCTGTGGTCATGTCTGACCCATTCTGTCTCCTTGTGTGGCCCCTCAGCTAGGTGAGCCCTCTCATTCAATCGTGTGTTGTGGTGGGTGTTGCCAGAGCTGAGATAATTAATCCCATTTATTTAAAATTTTTAATAAAATAAAGGAGGGGAGAGGAGACAGGATTATGTAGGTCATCCAAGCTCAAAACTGCATGGGCTCCGGGTGCCTGTGCCTGGGCAGCAACCCATGAGAACAGGACTCCCCGGCCCCCCGGGATCTGCTCCGGCTGTTTTAGGCCGGCCCAGCCCTTCTCTGCCTGCCCTTCTTGCATCTGTAAAGGGCCAGAGAAAACCAGCCACAAGCACAGCTTCCAGGCGGTGAGCAGCCAGTGTTTCCACGGGCACCAGGATGCTCTGAGCACAACCAAGTCCCAAAGGAATGAACCTGAGCACTAGGGAAAGGCAGTGAGTGCTCCAGGCAACATTACAGAGAAAGGCCACCTGAGCGGCAGGTCGACGGGCGTTTGTCCAGTGTGGTGTTGGCGGTGGAGTGAACCTGAGACACCATGGCAAGGCCCAGGCGGCTGTGCAGATCTTGCCACCGACGCAACTGTGGCTCTCAACCCTCTCACTGTTTGTGCCTCAGAATGATCGAAAACTACAAATACTGACAGGCCCCTCATTGTGGTTTTGTTCTCAGAGACATGTCAGAGAGCAAGGTTCTTACGCTATGAACATTCTCCTCAAATGGAACCAGGGTCCACCTCTCCTAGGTGAGCCCAATCAGTAGAAACCACACCCATCCCCAGGGTTTGTGGACCATCACCTCCTCCAATTGACATTAACACTCTGTATTTGTCAGTTTTTCATAACTGTAACAAAATACCTGAGGCTGAACAACTTTGTAAACAAAAGTAACTTTACTTAGCTCACAGTTCTGGAAGATCAAGGGCAGTGGGTTGGTATCAGTTTGATGACAGCCTCACAGTGGAGAGCATCATAGTGGCAGGAGCGAACAAGAGAGGGAGGAATCGCTTTGCCAGATAGGAAGTCAAACAGGCTGGAGTCTCAGTCTCCTCCAAGAACAGAGGTCCAATTTACCTGAGGCCCTCCCACTAGGCCCTGCCTTTTAGGAGTCCTGCACCTCTTCTACACCACCAAACCAAGGGCCAGCCCTCTAATGCACGAACCCTTGGGAGACAGCCAACCCACAGCACCCAGTGTCAACTCAGAGTCAAAAAGTGAATAAAACCTGCAAGACGGATGAGTCTCGTCCTAGGAAACATCTCTTTCTCTTCCTGTGTTGAAATTTTTCTCTGTCACTCAACATAAAATTGCACCTGGTGTTTGATTCAGTGAATCCAAGGAAAGAGAATGCCCAGCCAAAACTTGGGGTAATTGCCACATGTTTTTTCCGAGTGTCATTGAACATAAACCTTGCTGGCTAACAGCGGATTGGTTGGTTTTTATTTCAGCCCAGAGTGATTTTTTAAATGACTAATTTATAAAATCTTTGAAAATAAGAGTTTCTAATGGAAGTGCTTACACAACCATAACTCTGGTGTTGCAAATGGCACCACTGCCGTTAAGGGTGTGTTGTTGTTTGTTTTATGCTAATCTGCCTTCAGTGTGACAGACTGTCACCTGCACGGGGGGTACCGTTCTGCTCAATATTAGCCCATATGGCACGAGCTAAATTGTATCGAAGCTATGGGCTAATTATGGATGAGTTAATAAAGCCAGGCAGAGCGAGCCTGGCCATCTCCTCCCGTCCTTGGAGGACCCCCCTCCCCAAAGTGAGTCAGCCTGGTTCAAGCTTTTGGATTCCTCACAGTGGTCTTGGAGAACAAATCTGCAGCTCCATTTGAAACATACCTTTCATCCTTCCATAGTCGCATAACTTTGGTGTTAGATTTGAAAACCACTTTGGAGACCCTTGACACTTTCTCCAGTGACCGACTTTCTTAGGAATGATTTCAGAGCACAAGGATTATCCGCAGCTGGGGAACAAACACATGAGTTACTTAAGGTTCTCAGGGTTTGTTTTGAGAAGAAAAAAATAAATATGTTTTTACACATTAAGGCTCTAGATAAGTCCTCTAAGCTCGGGCACTTTGGAGACATTAATTATAGTGGAGAGTGGAAGAAGGAAGGAATTGTGGACATGGGTCCTCCAGGTTTCTAATCAGAAGCCACACGCATTTCATTATGATGCATTAATTATCGAGTTGGAAAACATTTCTTTTAAAATGCACCTGGGTTTTCTGGACGGCTCCTCCTTAGCTCTCTGCCTACCCCAGCCATGCCCCTTTTGTGGTGAGGATGGTCCTGGGTCGGCTGCCACTTCCCAGCTCCTCTCTGTCACCAGCAAGGGGCCTGCATCTCAGCGCAGCCAGGAGGGTGCCCTGTGGGCCGGTCCTTGGAGGCTGCATTGATGCTGCTCTGTTAATCAACTGGCGCTAGGAACATGGGATGCATTTGGCTTCTCCTCCCGGATCCAGCCAGCCCGCCTGTGATATGCCAGCCTGGGGAGCCCGATTTCTTGGGTGACACCCTCCGCTTCTCCCTACGTGGTCTTTAGATGTCTCAATTAACTGGGACAGTGACTCGAAAAACATGACAATCTGCCACTTTCCTGATATTCGCAAATAATTGCGCTTTACATCGCCTGGAAAAGTTCAAATGATGAGACGCTCAGCCACCGAGCTTCCCTCCACATCTTGACACTGGAATCTTTAAGCCACGGGTAAATCCCTCTTTCTCCAACATTTTTAAAGAAGTGTATACCTTTACTTTCGTTCTCTAATGATATTAGTTTATTTCATAGCCTAACTTAGGTTATTCCTGATATAACTATATTCCCAGTTCATTGCCACCTAAATTTTTAAAAAGCCATAAAAGCGAAATAAGAAAGAGCGAAGGCCACAGGACGGCCATTTGGTTTGCACAGGTGACAGGAGGCAGGTCCAGCCCCTCCCCTCCCCAGCCGGATGATGCCACGCAGCGGAGCTGAGTCATCTGGCCTCTGCCTCTTTGTCCCCATTTCTGCAAAGAGGATACCAAGAGTGCCCACTCTGTGACTTTGATAAGGCTTAGGCGATGGTAGCATGTGATGCCAAGAGCTCTGTAAGAGTGGAAAACGTATAAGCACACAGACGATCCATCCCAGACCCAGAGTGTCAAACTACAACGCCAACAGGACCCCTCTGGGCCTAAGGTAAGGACTGGGAAAGAAATGGCAGCGTGAGCCCAGGCTCTGGGCAGCTGGGAGAAGGGGAGTCCTTCGTTCCACTGAGTCTCAGTCTTTCTGGTCTAAAGACGACACCTGGCACATGCGCCCTCCTGTGTGAGTTGGGACTTGGTCTGTTTTCGGTTGCTGAACCTGAGGCTGAGAAATGGATTTTAAAAGAGGCTTATTCAGCTCCTAGTTCTGAAGACTGGAAGTCCAAGATGGGATTGCTGGGACTAAAAGACCTGACAAGAACAAATTAGAGGAGGAAAAGCTTGTTTTGGCCCCAGTTCAGAGGTTCAGTCCACAGTTGGCCGGCTCCATAGCTGCAGCCCGAGATGAGGTACAGCATCATGGCAGCAGGGTGTGGAGGAGGAGAGCAGCTCAGGACACCACAACCAGGAAGCAGAGACCCCAAAGGCACATCCCCAGTGACCCTTGTCCTCCAGCCACACCCCACCTGCCTTAGTTACTGCCCAGTTAGCCTGCATCAGGGGATTGATCCACCTACTAGGTTACAAATCCATAATCTGATCACTTCCCTTGGAGCACTCTTGCCCCCGTGCCACACAGGCTTTCAGGGGACCTGTCCTCTACACCATAACAGTGGCCCATCTACCAGGTTCTGGGGAGAGAACCTCAGAGCCTTGGGCTGCTCCATGCATAATAAAGAAGCCGAAGGGCAGGTGGGCATGGCCAGAGAGAGGGAAGGGGTAATGGAGCTGGCCACTCGTAGGGCACCGCTCTCCTGAGAAGCCATTCC